ATTGATTCTGAATGGAATCTGAATATCTTTTCACCCCATGAGGAATTAGTTTGGTAAAAGTACTTAATGTTTACAGCAAACATGTGGTAAACATATTCGTTGTTACAGGTTTCTCCGGAGACAGGTGTGTAACACCATTAGGTCCAAGCCTGAAAAATTTAGGGGAAAGTTACAAGGTCATTTGCTAGGTAATTTATATTTATATAAATTTATATTGTTTATATTGTTTTCCAGCATATATTAACTAGACATTTTCACTTTACTAGTATATGCTGATAACCAATGCTGTTCATGTTTTGTATAATAATGTTCTTTTTCATTTTTGTTGTATTATATGTGCTAATGCGTAGGCAGGCATATGCATCACGTGTGCATACACAGAGTGTTCTGTTGAGATCCTCACCAGCTAAAAACCGATAGAACTGACACCATGATTTGCAGATTTCACTGTTAGATGAGATCATCTTAACAGCCTTCTTACATAATCCATGTCTTACTTTTGGCTTACAACACATTTCTGTTTGACAGGTTGATTTAGCAGCGACATCAATTCCTGCTGCATGTGCCTGTGTCCCATCCCCTTGCTTTAGCACCAGTAACTTCCACCTATTCAAAGTGTCAGATTCTCCTTACTGTTTCTGAAGCTGGATGGAAACTGTGGTGCTGTGATTCAAACAGGGGTGCGTGGATGTGTCTTGTCTTAGCCCAGCCCCATCAGGTGCCATTGAACTGCACTGAGTGACTTCTCACCATGGGTGTATTGCACCCATCGTGCAGGTGTGCTGTAGGGTTATGACTCACCGTGACTCAACATGAACTCATAAAGCCACATCAGCCCAGGTCTTCATGTGATTTAAAGATTTCAAGTGGTAGAGGATCTACAATGTTCCTTATTCCTGTGGACTTTGCAACACCACAGAAAATGTAAGGTATCTTTTGCTAGAACACAACGGGGTCCTTGGGTACCATGAGAAATTAAAATTCAAGCCAATGCTGTTGCAGAAAGCTGAGGGGGATAAGATTAAGAGAGTTTGGATATTTGGGGCAGTGCGAAGATTAGCTGTATTTTTTGAACAAGCCAATCAATGAGGAAAACCATACTCCATATCCAAAGCATCTTCAGAGTTTTTGGTCCAATCATTGTCTTCCTTGGCCACTCTCTCTGTCTTAAGTCAGCAAGGGAGAAAATAATTTAACTAAAATGAAAAGCATAATAATGCTCTGGAAAATTTTCCATGAATTTGTGTGTAGAGACACATTTAAAAATATTAATTGTACTGGGTCTTAGCTTTACTTTTCCTATAAAGACCAAAAAAAACCAAATCAAAGGAGAATAACAGAAAAAAAAAAAACCCCAACAGCTTCTCTTTTTTACTCTCTCAGAGACATGAAAAAGTAACTTAGCAAAAAATAAACATTTATTTTAATGTAAAAGCAAATATGCCAGACCAGCCTCAGTACAAGAGAGACTATAAATACAAACACAGTGACTGCTGGCAGTGTTGGTTCTTGAATGAGTGCTTCAACTGAGGTTGATGGAATGTTTCATTTAAGCTCACTGGTGTCTGTCCAGGAAAGAGGACTTATTTCAGGAATGGCCTCAGTATGTCACAGCCTTCTTATTCACTAGGTGCCTTGAACAATTTCATGCTGCTGCTTCCTAAATTTAGCATGTAAACCTTTACTGAGTGGAATAGAAAAGAGAAGGAGTATTTAAAATCCCAGAGTAAATCACTGAAATAATTTGCTCTACCCCTAAGCCCAGAGTAAACCTCTGCATGAAATGACAGAAAGATGCTGTATCAGTACAAGCTAAAAGACAGGGCCCACAACATTAGCTATAGAGCACACCATGTGTCTGAGAGAAGCTACTTGAAAACTGTAAGATTGAACCCAAAGCCTTTCTCAACAGGCACAATCAAAATTAGTCGGGGGGGTGATGCTTTTCTGCACAAAAGGATGTGAAGTAAAAGAGGATGTGTATGAGAGATGTTTTGAGAGAGCAGAGCATCAAACAGTGTTTGGAGAGAAAAAAAATGTATAAATAACTGATTGTATGTAATGTGTTTTAGATTGTTCTTTGTTATAGGAGCTGAATATTTGAGAGAGAGCAACATGAAGACTAAATACTCTCACATATTCCTGGTGTCAAAAATTCTTGTGTGGCAAGGAAACAGCAGTACATCTCCTGATCTCCAGACAGCATGGGAACAGCTGAATCATCCAGTCCTTCTGTCCTCTTGTTTGGTAT